TAACTCTTATTCCAGGTGCCTATTGCGTTTGTATCGCTACCGCTCTCCTACAAACCAGCGGTCTCATTCCTTCACCATCGATTGTTGTGAGTATTTTATGTTGAGTAGTTCAGTCGGTAGCTCGGCTCTACCCTTACGAATTCGATCTCACAGACTGACGAAGATGGTAACTTGACTTGGGAGGAGCAGCATCTGGACATGATTCGGAAATGGGCTACTGCTGCCGAGTCCCTGATTCACGGACGTGCATCCGGTCTTGATGCGGCCGTTTGCACTTACGGTACGTTACACATATGCGACTAACATCAGCTATGCATGAAAGTGTTCAGTTTTTTCTACGTAGTTGGCACAATATTTCATAGAGCCCAACACTATAGAAAATCACGAAGTCGGACTCAAAAACATGAAACTTTGATAGCCGTGCGACTTGAGTACTAAATTTTCTTTTGTCCTTTTTCTGTATCATCACATTGCGTAGTTTTTGTATCCGACTCTAGTGTTTCTTGTAGAACAGCCAGCCTCATTATTGAACGGACGTTTTCATGTCCAACGTTCATCCAAAAATTTCTGTTCACTAAAAATTTTTGTGTAGGTAGAACAGTCCACCTCATCCTGCAAATGAGCTGAACTCATGCAGTTTAGGTGAAAACTTTAACAGTTTCGCTCTGAACCACCCAAGAGACACATTCCACGATTAATCGTTTTTGTACACAAACCGAAAAGTTGGCCTTAGGTGCTTAATAAGGAGCTCCGTTACATTTCCTTCGGCTAAGAAGCGACATTACTCGACGTAGATTCCACCTTCTCAGCTTGTACCTCCTCCCAAGGGGCGCTCGCAGGGAAAGGGGCTGGGTGCGGGCGTTGCTGTGATGTATCCCTGTTCCCAGGTTGGGCCTCGGCGGACTTCAGTTTTCTTACTCATGAACTGGTACACTTTGCAAAATCAGATGTGAAAAGGGGTTTTCCTTCAGTTCTTCCTGATCTCTTCTGCACTGCCGAATAACTTGGCCCTACAGTTTCGTTGCTAAACCCTGCCACCCACATCCCGCTGTCGTGGAATGTGCCTATCGTATGCACTGTGTGTTGAGGTTTGGGTTCTGGCAAGTGATATGAAGTTCTAACGACCAATTTATGAGTTTTTGGGAAGAAAATGACTTACAGGAAATAATTTCTAGACAATGGGCAAGCCCTCAAGAAACAAATTGTACATTCAACTCCTAGGATGGTCTCTGCCAAGTGAGAGGATCCGTAGCTCCAGTAATGAGCCACTTGATTCCCTCAAAATGCAGGGTAGGGTAGCGATACCCGAGTGCGATCTCACTCCGCCGACCCTGCCCTCAAGGTACAGCACCTCCATCAGTACCATGGTCCCCTAGCGAACACGAACTCATCGGTATAAAACGATTGGAAGCAAGAGAGCGCATTTAAGTAGCGCGTTTGGCTGCGGTTAGGCGTGGGCCGTGCTGCAGCGAGTGCGGCGTGTGGAGACGGCACTCAGGTATCGCTACCCTCGGGCCCCTTCCGAGCAGCTGAGTGGAAAAAGTGGCACATCACGGCAGCTTTCAACCGT